GCTTCGGGTGCACGAGGTCTCGGGTTCAAATCCCGGCCGAGCCCTTTTTTGATTTCTTTTTTGCTTCATGCATGCTGGCGCTCCCTTGCTGGTGGGCCTTGGACTCTGCCAGCATACCAAGTCTGCTTTCAGCCTTGCGTCAACACAGTGAAGGTGGCCGAGTTGGTCTAAGGCGCTAGTTTCAGGTACTAGTCTCTTCGGAGGCGTGGGTTCGAATCCCATCCTTCACATTTTGTTTTTCTGTTGTTGTTGTTGGTGGTGGTGTTGTGCGTTGTTGTGCAAAGTGCTTGACCGTCTGTGACTTGGGCAGATGTCGCGAAAAATGCATGTCATTGCTGGGGTTCGAACCGATGACCTCTTTCTTGTGGGCTTCAGTCAAGCAGGCAGGTGTTTGTGGTGTTTGAGTTGAACAAGAATCGAACCAAGGACCACATTCTTTTGATGTTTGCTTTAGGTTTTGAGTGAAAAAAAACAAGCGCACTGTGTCTTGAGAGGACATAACAAAGGTGTTTGTGTCAAGGCGAGGGAGGGAGGGATGGGCAGCCAGCCCTCCCAGCTGCTTCCAGTCCCCCAAACCAGCAGAAACAAAAAAAAAAAAAGTGTCTTCGTCCAGGTTCGAACTGGAGACCGTCTGTGTGTTAGACAGACGTGATAACCAACTACACCACGAAGACATGATGATGGAGTGTTCTAAAAGTGGTTGAGCGCAAGCCCAAACGACTCTGAAACCAAAACTGCAAAAAGAGATGCATGGTCCGGGAATCGAACCCGGGTCCACCGCGTGGCAGGCGGCGATTATACCACTAAACCAACCATGCTTGCTGTGAGGGCGCTGGTTTGGGGTTGCAAGCGCAACACCTCTCCTTGTATCTAGCTAGAGAATGGCACGCGTGGGGTGGGGATTGAAACGGCGGCCGCTTGTTTGTCTGCTGGCAGCTTGGCGTCCCGCTTCTTTGCGCGCCTGTAGGCGGCGCTGTGCCGAGGGAATTGGGGGCTAACTTGTTGCAGAATGTGGGCGCAGGGCTGTTGCTGGCGCTGGCGCCCACCAAACCTGCAAAATCGGCGATTTTGACGTGAAAATTTTGCGAAAATGCCAAGTACAAGGGCCAGTGGAACAGGGCGAAAAATTTTGAGCGCGCGCTTTCCGGGCGCCCTGGCCTAGCGGCCTGGGCGGCCCTTGTTTTGTGCGAGGGGCCAGGGTTCGAGCCTTGGAACCAGCAGGTTTGTACACCAGCAGCGCATTTTTTTCGCCTCCCCTTTTTCAGGCGCGTTGGGGGGTCTTTTGTGTGCCCGTTGTTGATCTTTGTGAGTACTACCTGCCAGCAGCAGCAAGAGCAAAGGAGCAAAAACAGCAAGCCAGTTCTCATGGAAGCAGAGGCAAAAGAGAGAGGTCCTACTGAGATTCGAACTCAGGTCGCGAGATTCAGAGTCTCGAGTGCTAACCGACTACACCATAGAACCTTGTTTGTTGGGAGGCGCTCAAGTGTCAAGAGCGGGCGCGCCCATACCCCAAAAAGCAAAGAACGAAAAGCACAGCAAGCAAGCCAACAAACAAAAAAATACAAGGGGGCACCGGAAGTCGAATCCGGGACCTATCGATCTGCAGTCGATTGCTCTGCCACTGAGCTATACCCCCGTTGTGTGAGTGGGAGTGTGTCGAGTGACTTTGTGGCATGCCATGGCGATCAAATGAAAAAGTGGATGTTCAGAGCGGGGTTTGAACCCCTGGCCTCTGCATGTTCAACACACGTGGCGCAAAAACAAAACGACAGCGACAGGATTCGAACCTGTGCAGGCAATGCCTAATAGATTTCGAGTCTATCTCCTTAACCGCTCGGACACGCTGTCTTGCTTCTGACGTAGCCCTCATGGGTTTTGGCGGGTCTCACTGCGTTCCAGCAGCAAACAGGGAGTTTGTTTGATCGAGGCTGGTCTTTTCCAACGTGTTTCGCATCTATGCAGAGCACAGCATGCCCGGTTAGCTCAGTCGGTAGAGCGTGAGACTCTTAATCTCAATGTCGTGGGTTCGAGCCCCACACTGGGCGGTCTTTTTTTTTTTTTTTTTTTTTTTTTTTTCCACATTTTCACTTTTTGCTTTGCTTTACACCGCCTTTGAACCGCACGCACTGTCAGCATTTTTCAAGAACAAACTCGCTCCCCACCACAGCTTCTTGCAGCCTGCGCATCTTTGAAAGCAACAGGCTGTGCTGAGTAGAGAATCACAGCTACTGCAGAGTCATTTCAGCAAACACCAAAAGGCAGAACAGCTGACAAGCTTGCACAACTGACAAGGGCGTGAAAGAACAAAAAATTCAAAAATGGAGGTTGGGGGGATCGATCCCCCGGCCTCTCGCATGCGAAGCGAGCGCTCTACCACTGAGCTAAACCCCCATGCGGACTGGTCTCGTGCCATGCATAGCGTGCATGCATCCTGCAAGCCGACTTAGCTCAGTGGCAGAGCGTCGCTCTCGTAAAGCGAAGGTCGGGTGTTCGATCCCCCCAGTCGGCAAGCTTTTTTTTTTCTTCTTCAGTTTCTCTCACTCCCTTCTTGGCTGGTGTCTTGCTTTCTTTTTGCACAACCACCCATTCAACACGCTCACTCCTCGAGTCCGCCATGGTCCAGTGGTTAGGATCCCGCGCTTTCACCGCGGTGGCCGGGGTTCGATTCCCCGTGGCGGAGGTCTTTTTGTGCCAGATGAAGGCTGAGGGGGGGGGGGGGGGGCACTTCAAGTCTTTTGCCATCTGTTGGCATTGGCCAGTACTGGGAAGCGCGCTGCTGCAATCAGACACCCTCAGAAGCACTCACAGTGCTTCAAAAAACACCTTTTGGGCACCCAAAGCGCGTGATCATGCTCAGGATTAGGCAAGAAATCAGTGTTGCAGCACCCCAAACACCAAACACAGGCTTCTGGGGGGCGCCCAAGGGCCTTGCAGACCTCCAGCAAGAGCAAAGCACTCAGGATGCTTCAAAAACAACTCTTGAGTACCCAAAACACACAATCTCCAGTGACCCCCAAGCATCTTCCAGACCTCCCCAAAGAGCAAAACGAGAGAAAAATGCAGGGCTCGACCGGGGATTGAACCCGGGACCTCTCCCACCCTAAGGGAGAATCATACCACTAGACCATCGAGCCGTACAAGAATATG